TCCCGCGGGGATGACAAGCGTCGCTCCGCATGGATCTTGTACCTGCTTTTTCGTCAGACAAAATGACTGAAGAGGCATATGTAGGTCAGGATTATCACAAAGCTCTTTAGTGACGTCATCCAGACACATCAAATACTCTAAATCATCGTTTATTGATAGTTCTTCGGCAAGTTGCCAGTTACAACTATTCTCCGATGATTCATCATCGTCAAGATTGATTACAATGGGTACAATGTCATTAAGAACAAAACCACCATCATAATCAAGCCCTGGTTCGGTATCAGCTTCATCTCCGCTGTCCGTTCCTTGGGCCGATGGTTCAGTATCGGATTCAGCGCCGTATAAAAGGGAATCGGTGAAGTAATTCTCCAATCCCTTAAACGGTTGCTTATCCGCGACCACCGTCTTGACTTCATTGTTTGTGTCTACATATTTGAGACACTGATGTAGAGTTGACGGGACTATAAGGTTACCGTGGATCCAAGGTCGACCCAACAGTAAGTTATAGGATGTTTCCGCGTCAATCACATAACAAGTGACCTCCGACCTCAAATCCCCAATCTGGCACTTGACTCGGATCTTCCCCAAGGGCCTAGACCCGCTGGTGTTGAATCCATAAATCGTAGTGCCAGTGGATGCTAATTTGCTAGTCGGGATTCCGAGATGATGCATCAATCGGAATGGCATGATGCTAACAGCGGAACCCGGATCGACTTGGATCCGGTTGACAACGCTGGAGCCAATGTGACCGGTAAAGTACAACGGTCGGTCATGCTTTGAATTCTTCGTCTGCATATCTTCTTTAGTGAAGGAGATGCAGGGAAAGTGTTGCGCCGCCAGGTTGCATTGTTGAACTGACGGCTCTGGTCCTTCTGGAGATGGCTTGATCCGAGTCAGAAAAGCTTCAGAGTCACTTAAGGCTTCTTGCAGCGCTTTCCTTGTGTCCTTTGAAAGGCGCAACAGCTCGTATAGAGTTATGCGAGCTGGGATGTTGGCCAACTGCGCCATGATGTCGAAATGAGGCGGTGAGCTCGTATTTCCCGGTTTGTCTCTACCAATCGGATGATTGAATCGAGACTGCCTCGGGTTCTGGGCTTCTTGCCGCGGAGGCTCTTTCCCCTTCTCCTTTTGCTGGACTTTCTCCGCAGATGCGGGTGTTGGGGGAATTGCTGAGATTCCTAATTCTGCCAACGTTTTGGAAGGAGGGGTTTTGGTGCCCAATTGCTCGGAAGCGTCTGGGTACTTGTAGTGATACTCGTTCCCGCTTCGGGTTGCAAAGACCTCCTGTTCGTCTTCAGACAGTGGAAAGGTTGGGATTTTGTCGTCCTCTTCTCCTGGAATGGCAGAAGCTCCATAACAAGATTTCCCTTTTCCTTTTGACTTTCTTTTTGATGATGATCCGGTCCATTGCTCATCTGTGATCAAGTCCGGATGAACCCACAGAATCTCACCATTTGGGGTTGTGTGTGGCACGAGCCCTTTCTGGCGCTGTTGGTGAGGATCATCATTCACCGTCTTCACTGCTGCATTGATCACCGGCTCGTGTTGGAACCAACTCGAGGGAACAGTCCCGAAACTAATGGATACCATGTTTGCACCCACTTTCTTCTCTTTGGGCTGCTTCATGGTGATAACCCCAACATCGATTAGGGCCTGAATCTTATCTTTGAGAGCGTAGCATACCTTGGTGGGATGGTGCACCGCTCGGTGGAATGCACAGTATTTCGGATCGTTGACCCTCTTGGCATCTTCTTGATCCTGAATCGGTGGCAACTTGATCTTGTTGTTCTGAACGAGGTATTTGAAGATACCCGGGATTTCATCCTCCTTGAACGAGTAGGTCTTTGGGAACCTCGGCTCCGCGGCCTTTTGCCTTTGGGGCTGTTGTTGCCATCTCGATTGTTGAGGCGCCCTCTGTTGCTGCTGTGGCTGTTGCGGCTGTGCTTGCACCTCAAACACTTGATTCGCATCTACAGCATTTGCTTGTGTTTTCCCCTTACCCCTAGGGGTAAAGTTCTTCTGTTGTGGGACACTGTTTGGTATTTGGCCCCTTTCAGCCTTCTTCCTTTTGAGGAGTCGCTCGGCTCTTTCCCCTCTCACCTTCAAGTCTTTCCAGGTCGTTGGCGGTGCCGTTCCCATGGCTTCAAGGATGTCCAATGTTAAATTGTTGTGGCAAGTTTCGAGGATGAATTCCTCGCTGACCGGGTCCCTGCAATTCATAGCTTTGTTCCGGAATCTCTGACGATATCTCTCAATCCGGAAGGCGGAATTTAACATATAATATATGAAAATCGCCTATCTCGACGAGACGAAGCTATCCGTGAAATCAGAATTTGGAAATAGTGGGCATCGATGTCGGCATCGATGTGGGCATCGATGCTGGCATCGATACCTGCATCGATGCCTGCATCGATACCAGATTACTGTAGCGCGCGTCAATGGCTGATTTTGCTTGTCTTGGGGCTCAAGTTTGATCCAATGGCTCTCATTCACTGATGTTTACTATAAATAGGGGTAGAGAGTGAGGGGTTAGAGGTGTGAAAATTTTTGTAAACTCCTTTTGGAGAGGAGGGCTACTCTTAATTGAGAAGGCCTTCCAAAATTGTAACTTTAGTTGCAATTAATAATAATAATTTTTTCACCACTTTAAATATTTCTTCTCTTTGTTGGATGATGAAGATGGAGATGAAGAATTATTTAGAGGTTTGCATTTTCTTTCCTTTTTCTCTTTTATTTCCTTTTTATTGCTTATTAGTGTAGATTTATTTCTATGCTTGTAGTTTAGATTTTATTTTCTTGTTAAATAGCCAAGAGGCTAGAACCCTCTTGCCTTAGATTTATTTCATGCTTATAGAGTAGATTTATTTTCTTGCATTTAATTCTTGCAATTTTATTTTGTAGTTTAGATTTTGCACTTTATTTTGTAGTTAGATTTTAATTTCTTATACTATTCACCTTGAGGCTAGAACCCTCTTGGGTTTAGTTTTTCTTTTTGTTTATTTTTATTTTGTTTGATTCGCCTTTAGGCTAGAACCCTCTAGGGAATCACCCTTTTCTAAGAAGTGGGTTCAATTGTAGATTACCCATATCTATAATTGAATCCACCATCTTTAATTTCTTGCATTTTCTTTTAGTTTCTTGATTTTATTCATCTTTCCTTTTCACCTTATTGATCATACTCATTCTCTTTTATATCCACTCTCACTTACACACCACTTTCACTCTTTCAATCTCTTCACAATCACATTCACTTATCACTCCTATTTGTCACGCACACAACAGAAGAACCGATTTCATATTTTCTCCTACAAAACACCTTCCTCGTGGGATCGATATCTTAAATACTATAACTTGACACGGTTGTGCACTTGCAACCTTTTTGGTACATGTTTATACCGCATCAAGTTTTTGGCTCTTTCCCACTGTGGTAACGTTATCATCAACTCAATGACAATAATATATTCATATTATTATTATTAATAATTAATATAATGTAAAGTTTTTTCCCACTGTGGTCGCCAGCTTGTTTTCGGTGAAAGTCGCTGTTTTCATTGCTTTCGAAATCTGTTACAACTTTAAACGTTACAACGAGAATCGATAAAAAAGGTCGGTCTTTTTATAAGACCTCCTTGTGCAACAAAACAAAGATTACAACTTTTCGAAAATAAACACGAGATCCCGTTTTGGTGCGGTCTCGCTTGCGTGGGTCTTTGGCCTGTGACGGGGATGTTGATATCCGTGGACCACCGGGGCAATCAGATCCGTTCCGGATAAATCGGACAGAGTTTCGTCGATCCGCGTGAGATCTAGAAACTTCCGGTCCAGAAATATCGGACAGAGCTTCGTCGATCCGCGTGAGATCTAGAAGCTATAAGCGTATACCTCGGCTAAAACGAGGTAATAGCTCTTCTTAGTATCAACGCTAAAGGCCGATACTAAGGAAAGAAGGGGGGAAAAAGGTGATGAAGGCTGATGCCGACCTCTCTTCCTCGGTTGAAGCGCTCGATGACTCTTTGCTGCAGCAGGGCTTCGCCAAGGCTCTCCAAAAATCCTCCTCTCGAAAGCAAGGCCCAAGGGGGCTATTATAGGCATATGAGGACATGTAGGGGGGCTAGACACCCCTGGGGTGTCTCCACAGATC